AAAGTGTGTCATATTTTATTGCTTTTTTATTAGCATAGTGCTTTTTTGTTTCTATTAGCAAAGTGTGTGTTATTTTTTTATCAGAAAATTGTTTCTTTTTTTGTTTCATTTAGTTTTTTTTTTTTGCTTTTCCTTTTTATCAACAAACCGTATGCTCATTGCTTTGCTTTTTTTATTTATTTATTTTTTTGCTTTTATTAGTAAAGTTTTCATAAAACTTGCCTGAAAACACAACCAATGACCGCACATAGAAATTCAGAAAATTTTAATAAGAAACTAAAATAAAAGGGGAAACAATGAGTACTAACAGTTTTTTCTGTGTTTTTTTCTGGCTTTGTCTTTGCAGTCTGATGATCTGGATCCCTTCCAGGACATTTTAGAGGACAGCGTATACACTGATGTCGGCATTCCCAGTCCCAAACCAAAATTCCCACCTTGCAAAGAAAGCAAAAAGGACCTGATAACGTAAGTGGCATGAGAGAATGACACGATTATCCATCACACCTTTTATTTTTCTTCTTCTTCTTCTTCTTCTTTTTCTCCTTTAGTTGTTGCTTGAAATGATGCAGCTGTGGCCGAAAGTTAATGTGAATTATTCATATTACTTATTAAATTACTCATTAAATAGATTTTTTTAACGTCTACACCAACCTTTACCCCTTACAGTAATGTAAAATGGTAATTATACAGGGTATTATTCATATTAAATATTAAATTACCTATTAATTCTGCTGTTTTAGTGACTGTCGCTTTAAATTAAATAAGATTGTGCTTCTGCCTCTTAAAAAAGAAGCTAATATTTAGAGCAGACAGTGGATTCAAATGTTTTTAGAGCAGACATCCCTTCTCTTTCACCACTGCTTCATTGCATTTGAAGGAATGAGTGGATTAAATATGTGTGTTTGTTTTTTGGTAGTATTAGTATGTCTGATTTATGTCACTAACATCAGCTTGTAAAATCTTTTTAGCCTTTCAGGTTGTCCTTTAGCAGATAAAAGCATTCGGAGCATGATGGCCAGCAACTCACAAGAACTCAAGTAAGGATCAAATTGAAAAGCACAGACACAGATCCTGTATCCTCCAGCATCAGTGTCATTTATGCCTGATGGTGGTTCTGTACATTTTCACTTGAAAATATTATTTTCCATAAGACTCCAAATATGTGAAAGATATCCCACACACACACACCTCAATCATCATCAGTTATATGGTTGTCCTGCCCTTAAACACACACACATGCCAATCATCATCAGTTATGTGATTGTCCCACCCCTACACTCACACACACACCCACACGCCAGTCATCATCACTTATGTGGTTGTCCCGCCCCTATACTCATACAAACGCCAATCTTCATTAGTTATATGCTTGTCCCACCCCTACAAACACACAACAAACCATACACATACATACAAACACACCCATACATAAACACACACACACACACACACAAACACACACACTAATCATGATCAGTTATGTGGTTGTCCCACTCCTACACACATGTCAGTCATCATCAGTTATGTGGTTGTCCTGCCCCTACATGCACACGCGCCAATCATCATCAGTTAGGTGGTTGTCCCACCCCCCTACAAACACACACCAATCATCATCAGTTTTGTGGTTGTCCCACCCCTACACCCACACACACACCAATCATAATCAGTTATGTGGTTGTCCCACCCCCCTACAAACACACACCAATCATCATCAGTTTTGTGGTTGTCCCACCCCTACACCCACACACACACCAATCATAATCAGTTATGTGGTCGTCCCACCCCCCTACAAACACACACCAATCATCATCAGTTTTGTGGTTGTCCCACCCCTACACCCACACACACCAATCATCATCAGTTATGTGGTTGTCCCACCCCTACACACACACAAATCAATCATCATCAGTTATGTGGTTGTCCCACTCCTAAACACATGTCAGTCATGTTTAGTTATGTGATTGTCCCACCCCTACATACACACGCGCCAATCATCATCAGTTAGGTGGTTGTCCCACCCCCCTACAAACACACACCAATCATCATCAGTTTTGTGGTTGTCCCACCCTTACACCCACACACACACCAATCATAATCAGTTATGTGGTTGTCCCACCCCCCTACAAACACACACCAATCATCATCAGTTTTGTGGTTGTCCCACCCCTACACCCACACACACCAATCATCATCAGTTATGTGGTTGTCCCACCCCTACACACACGCACAACAATCATGATCAGTTATGTGGTTGTCCCACTCTTACACACACGCCAATCATCATTAGTTATGTGGTTGTCCCACTCCTACACTTAGACTCATTAGTTTGAATAAGCAGCAAAAACATCATATTTCAGCTTTAATTTACAGCAAATTTAAAAAATACTTTTGAAATAAAAACTAATTTAAAAATGTAAAGCTATAATAACCTTGATAACAAAGTGTATGTATTTTGATACTCAATATATGCTAGCTATGCACTTCCCCCCTATGTTACATCTGTGAACTATTGAATCATTCATTACCTTTTGGGTGTTTCGCTCAGCGCTGCATCATGACACTATTGAACATCTCAGATGAGCGGCTTGTTTGTGTGTTTGCTAGAGGAGATAAAGCCTGTCTGTAAAGTGACAGGGTTGAATTATGGGAGATGTGTGCTGCCATTCCTCTGCTTTATCACGGCAGATGAGTCACACACAATGTGTGTTATATTTATGGGTGAAAAGATGTGCCTACGCTCTCTGAAATAAAGCCACAGAAGCTGTCACTGGGGCATTATGTTTTCAGAGGGTACATGTTTGTGCCTAATGACAACCCAAAACTGAATCTTAGAGGTATACTTTTTACCATTAAGGTATACCATGAGGTACACTTTTGTACTTTTTGCTCTATTGATATCCACTGGAGAAGGATTGTTTCATATTATATATGAAAACTGGTCCCTTGAGGGGAGAGTAGCTAGCTAAACAAGTGAATTAGACAACCCAGGGTTATTATTTACACATACTCCTGTCTACATTTCTGGAGAGCACAAAATATGTCCCATGAGGTATGTTTTTTTTTTTGTTTTGTTTTTTGCAGTTTTCGTTTTTTTGAAAATCCACCATAGGTCGCTTTGTACGTTTACTTGCGAGTGCCATTTGCACCTGCGCCAGAGGTCGATGTCGACTGACTGACTGACCAATACCCCTACACACCCCTTTCCCTTAACCCAACCAACAGTGTTGTTTTTCATGAATGTATGATAATTATTTTTGGCTAACTATTATTAACCACCCTCTACATCTCTATTTCCTAATGCTGAGTTCACACATAAGCAAAATTGAGCATTTATATATGCTTAATTGCATATAAAGTCAACGCAAGTGTTTAAAATACATGTTGTCATGACTTATCGATCATGTAACGTTTTGGCAGTGTTGAAACGGTTTCATTGACTAGAACGTGTGCTGGCCCCGCATGTTGTACATCACTTTACAGTGCAAGAATACATAAAAAATGTGCCCAGTTTTTCCTCAGATGTAAATAATGTTGTGTTAGAACTGTGTTCATGCATGCTGGGCAGTAACAGGGTGTATTTCTGTCCCAGGTGCTCGACCCCGGGCTGCGACGGCTCGGGTCACATCACTGGAAACTACGCTTCACACAGAAGGTGATCAGCACACACACACACACACACACACACACACACACACACACACACACACACACACACACACACACACACATACACACACTGCTAAAAAACAGCATTTATAGTGATTCTGCATTGTACTTGCATATATAATATAAATGAAATTGAGCCTTAGTTAATTGACTTTAAAAGAGTGCTCTTCTATTACTATAGCTGCGTCCCAAATTGTATACTTATGCAATTTTACAGTTATTTACTGGAAACACACCCAGTAAAATGCCACATATTTACAGTTGACTATTAGAATATGCACTGAATTGTGAATTATTTAAAAACTTTTACAGTAACTTTCTGCATATTCTAAATTTACAGTATTCTACTGTAATCAAGCACCACTACTGTAGTTGAAGACAAAAATGAGACAGTTAATGTGCAATATTTATCAGTCTTGTATAGCAACATGTATTTAAAATAGATCAATGAATAAAACTTTTTTTAAACCATTAAAAATGTTTATTTATATATAAATATAAAATATATGTATAAATTATATAACTATTTAAATATCTATGTAACAAAATTGTTTTGTATAATTTTTATTCTACGCATGTGTGCATATCACATATTCATAATAAATATATTTAACACACACACACACACACACACACATATATTATGTCAAAACAAACTTTTATTTTGGATGCGATAAATCTGAATTTTTGCCCAGCACTACTAAATATACACTTAAATCCTACTCACGGGGTCAGAACAGGTCAGATTATGGCATTTAGATTAACCCTTTGATGCACAAGCTATAAAATAGATATAGAAAAAATAAGCTTAGACGGGTCACTTTAAACCCATATAGTGCATCAAATGGTTAAAAAATTTTAAGGGCTCTATTTTGACAATCTAGGCGCAAAGTCCAAAGCGCAGAGCGCAAACGCATTATGGGCGTGTCAGAATCTACTTTTGCTATTTTAACAACGGAAAAAACTGCTTTGCACCGTGGCGCATGGTCTAACAGGGTTGAGCTTATTCTCTTAATGAGTTATGGGTGTGTTTTGAGAATAAACCAATCAGAGTTTCATCTCCCATTCCCTTTAAGAGTCAGTTGTGTCGCGCCATTATGCATTTGCTATTTACATGACGACTTTGTTAGTGGAAAAACTGAACACTTCACTAGAGAGAACACAGTTAAACAGAGCATCTGCAGCGCGAGAATGAGAGATGAGCCTCCTCACTCTTTACTTTCACTCTCATGGATAGGGAAACGTGTTGTACACACAGACATCTATTGGCCTATAAATATTTAATTTAGTTTGTTAAGCGCAAAGATATGTGTCAAAACTATTTCTAAATTCAG